GCCGCAAGACAATTATTTTTCTTACTGCGTTGTGATTTTCATGACAGTTTCTTCCATTTTTTACAGAGATTAAGGGATGAAAGAGGGTTAATTGTTAGGTAATTTAGTTCTACGTCAAACAGCCTTTTTTTCATCCGAGAGGGAGAGAGAGAGAGAGGGCGAGCGGCTGACGAAAAACCTCAAATGATTCTTTTTCTCGCATTCAGTCCGTGATGTTCCACAGGCCTGTGCGCGCATGCGCAAATGGTCGCAACAATGCTGTAGGGAGTGGTAGCGAAACGGAGACTTCTCTCTGGCACAAAAGGTTCTCATTCCCGGCACCGGATTTAGGGGTTGGAGCTACAAAATTGCGTTCAACTTTGAATCCATATCAGATTCGCGGGTACGATCAAGACCTAATTTGTGGTAAATGTTCTAATAAAAAATATGGAAGAAAAAAAAAATTCATCGAATCAATGTCAAGATATAAATAGCAACATATATCAAATTCGCTCTGAATAAATAAACAAGCTATGGAAAAAAAAACCCGGATATTCCGAATCACAAAATAAAAACAATTCATTAACTTCAATTTTTTAAATGGAAAATATATTTTTTCCCATCTGATCTTCACGCTTCTCTGGGGGACGAACGGTTAGGAATAGGGGTAAAGTGCCCTAAACATTTTTTGTGTAGAATTTTGACCTCTACAACTTTGTATATCACGTTTTTGGACGTGCAGCCCGTTATTCACGAGTTATTTCGAAAAAACGGTTTTCAGGGGTATTTTTTTGGCTTTTTCAACCCCCGCACAAACTTGGGGAACCTTAAACATCCGCCATCAGTTTCATACGCCCAAATCACAAATTGTATCAAAAATGGAGCCTGATTAGCAAACATTCGTATGTTAGACCTTCGTTCATTGGACTACTCCGGACTCACTCCACGCCGGAGAGCCATTCGGGGTTTCTCCGCGCTTTTGAAAATTCATTCCTCCGTTTCTACTTGAGATTAAGTAATGAAACCGCTGTCATTTATTGAAAATTTTCTCCATGGGACACCGAAAAAAAACAGAAAAACATACACAAGGACCTAGTCAAAAAATATCCTATTCTGATTGCAGTATCCAAATTAGTCATCATAACATGAAAAATGCTTCCATTTGAAAGAATGATGCAAAGACCTCTATTTGGTCTGGCCCTTGAAGCTTCCCCACCTCCGTTTTCATGGGTTTATCGGTAGCTTTGTTACTTCCAAATAGAAGCATTGTAATATTTGAAATGCAAGTTTTCTGTTTTTACTTTGGAATAATTAATTTCGGACTTGGGAAGCGGAATATGACGTTTTTTATTCCTGTCCGAAGGTATGAGGCTTTTGTCAGAATGAAAAAAATATTGTGCAAATCGATTTAATCTGCGCTCAAATTATATGAGAATAGTGCCAATAACATCAGCAGTTGTCGATTCGTAGCTGTAGAAATGTCTCATCTTTAAATCAAGAGAGGCCAATACTGTGGGTGATTCTATATGACCCCTATATGAGCCACACGCGACTTCATTATGACCCCTATATGACAGCCGCATGACCCCTATATGAACCTCATATGACCCTGATGTGACCGCTATATGGCTCCCATATGAGCCTCATATGACAATTTTATGACCCCTCTATGAATAGTCCAAACGCTGTGACAGGTCCTGTATACATTTTTAGGTCCATTGAATTTCATGTTTTTGGGGTACCTGAATACGAATATGTAAATCATTTTTGAGAGGTGTGGCCACTTTTGTTTATTTATAACAATTTAATTGTTTAGAACGCGATTTCGCCGAAACGGTTGGAGTTAGGCAAAAATATTTCAAATCAAAAATGTTCGTTGTCTGAAAATACATCCATTTTGTTTTATTATTTTTATTCTTATCTTTCATAGTTATTGAGTTATCACCTCTGAAAGCTGGTCGGGGAGGACGGAAGTGCGCGCACGTGATCATTCATGCACTCCGCTCAGGTTACATTGGTAACGGTTGGGAATAAACGAAAATAGTTTAAATAAAAAAAGTTCTTTATTAAACAATTCATAATTAGGGGAGACCGGGGCAAAATGAGACCCCTGAAAAATTTGAGGTTTTACACGAATAATTGATTTCTCTACAATTCCTAATGAAGTACACTGTTAAAAAAATTTGACCCGAAATTCTAACAAAAATGTTGGAAGTTTTATTCACACATAGTGTGGTAAAATTACAACACTTTTTTTACAGTTATCATATGAGAATTTTCTAGGAAAAAAAAGGAATACTCGCATACACGAATATTGTAAAATTACTACATAAGAAGAGCAATTCTATTCCATTCGTGTTGTAAATTCACTACATTTATCTGTGGTAATTTTCCAACTTACTTAAATGAGATTATCAGAATTTTGCTACATGGGACTGTAGTAATTTTCTCATACCGGAATTACTATTTTACTACTTGAGTGCAATAATTTTTATTTAAAATTGTATGGTAAAAATCATACAGTAATATTCGGATATTCTCATGTAGGTATTGGGATTTTTTTTTTTATAATTTTCAAATATGAATAACGAACAAAACATTACAATTCTCACGATCAACACCAATAAATTTATTAAGAAAAAGTATTGAGAAAGTAAAATCAATCCATTAATATTCGGAAAAGTCATTAAATTATTTCATAATGTTTCATAATTATTTTTGTTAAATGGAAATTGCACATAAATTCATCATGAATCTGACTGAAATTAGTCGAAATAATAATGGCACTCAAACTATCCCTAGCAAAGATCTAGCAAGAATTTTTTCAGCATAATTCATTGATTTCCCATTTTAATTTCCTCCGTTCAAAATATGCTGATATGGTGAGCTTCATGCTTTTAGGGATGTTCTATATATTGCTGGAGTCCATCGATGAATTTCTTGACTTTCAGGTCAAAAGGCGTTGCCTTCTGTTTTTTTGATGCTCTCTTGTGTCCAGTTTTGGGATTCATTCTGAGCAAACATCTGGAATGCAGAATTTCATATTTTATATTGTGAAATAAGCATTTTGGCAATAACGACAAGATGAATCAGGAATTTCCGAATGACTCAACAATTATGAATTATTATTTCTCTAAATATGATTCGTATCTACATATATTTCTTTGAAAAAATACCTCTGAATGAATTCCAAAGTACGGGAGAGTGTGTCTGGGTACAGAACTCTGAAAACGTAGTAAAGGGAGAACAGCAATAAAATTCCATCAAGAACTCCGTTCACTGGGATCAAGATTTTCTTGTCCAGTGCCACTGCGTGTGTTGCAGTCTCGTCATAAAGTGATCGCCCTGAGAATGAGAAATAGCATATTATTGCCTGGGATGTCATTATGGATCGCAAATCTGGTTCACAACGACATTATGTTTACCTTTTATGACAAGAACAGGAGTGAGGTTCGGAATGTTTTCCAGGAGTTGTTCATCCGTCAAGTTCTCCTGAAAAAACGAATTTATAAATGAGTTAATACAGGCCAATTAATCAAGGACAATTATTCTATATGAAGCACTCTGGTCATACTCACTTCTTCAAATCGAAATAACTCATCTTCTTTTTCTTGAAAATGAAGAACGATGAGTCGAAATATGACTGATATCAATGGAATTTCGATTATATCCACAGAAGAAATTGCCATTCAAACTTGCATGTAATTTTCTGTGGCTTGAAAAGTCCCGGAATTTATTTGTCGAGTAATCGCAGAACCTGCACTGGAACATTATGATGCCTAAAGGAAACAAATATAGATTTCAATGTTTATTAATTCGGTGTACTAACAGTCCAATCTCTACATTAGATGAAGCTGCGATAGTTACATTCACGGGCTCTGTACAGGGTGTCTCATTGTATTTCATACGTTATACACTACGCGGGAACCATATAAGAGTGTGATGACTAATTAAGGACTGTATATATCGCCGGTGAGTACAGGATATCAATACCTCAGAACAAATCAATTTTTTTTTCTTCGGCTAAATGAATTTCTATGACTCCCGGCACCTATGATGTATTCGGACTGGGAATCACTACAAGATTACAACAAAAGCAGTCTTTTTTTCATGATGAAAAGATCCACTTGGGCTACAATATTGTCCCCCCTTTCCTCTCGACAGAGTAGTGGCGAAATAAAAGGCAAGTTCTGGGAATTCTACAGTCTCTGGCGTATCTCGCGTAGAGGTTGGACTGTACCTATGGTTTTTTTTTGTCTTCAACGGAAAAATAATTTTTAAGAAAAAATCGAATTCTAGCCTTCCAAATTGTCGATAATAGAACTGAAACCGTGGCAAAATTATGTTTGAAATAAAGCAAAATATTCGGAGAAAAAAAAATTATGTATGTTTTCAGGCTTTATTGTTTCTCGAGCTGAACAACATTCTCTTCTGGAAAAACCGAATGAACAAAGAAATGAAAAATCCTAAAATATGTCAAACTTGAGAAAAATTAAAGGGAATTGAAAGGAATCTACTTGCGGGATGTCTAAAAACTCTACTTCAGAACTCATTGTTATCTTTTTTACCCGAATGATGGAGGAAATTTTTATTTACCTGCGTTGTTCCGCTACAGCGTCCAGTATAATTCTCAGCTTCCCAATAATATCACTCACAAAAATCCATAATAAGTCACTCTATAATAATGAACTGTTCACTGTGGTAATAACGTATTAGAAGAAAAGATCGGCAGTTTCATAAAATTGGGGTTTCAAAAGCATTTTCGTTGAAATTTTCGAGATTGAAAGAAAAACGTTCTCTTAATGAATTTAAAGATCTTTTTCATTTATAAGAAAATTTTATCACCAAGTTTACGAGACGAATCTGTGAACTGTTCGGAGAAGACTAAAGTTTAAGATTTTCATGAGGTGGTATATGGGCCTTGCAATTCAGGGTTGGAAGGAATTTCTAAAATTGTATTGGTTGGAAAGTATTTTCCCCAGACTGCAATTGGCCAAGAAAAGGCATACGGAAAAGTCTATGTACAAAAAAAAGGAAAGCGGACCGGAGGATGACGCGGTCTCGTTACGCGCACATGTGATGACCACCAGGACTCTGTCTGGAGATGCCGTAACCGGGTAGCAAAAAATGGGGAATTTTCCTCACGTGAAAACTATAAGAAAAAAGAGGACTATTGTCCAAAATTTTATTTCTACGTTTTATTTTAACGTTTCTCCCAACTATTTAGTATAATTTATGATTTCGTTTACGCCTAGCCAAAGTCTATTGTTTGAGATTTCAAAAATTGACTGAAATTCTATTATTTGTTGGTTAAAAATTAAATTTCAAAAGATGTTGAGAAGCAATAAAAATTATAAAATTAAAAGATAGTATCCTAAAATTTTCGAAAAAGTATAATAATTTTCCCGTTTGTACTTGAAATTTTCAGTTCTGAAGGAACGCTTAAATTATTGTTGTAAATTTGAAGGACAAATTGTAATTTTAATACACGTGTGTCTTGCAAAAATATTGGAAAAGTACAATTTTCCCGGTAATTGTATTCGAAAATTCAAATACAAATAAATTCATACACGAGAATAATAATTTTACAATCCCCTGTAGTAATTTCACTATATATTGTAGTAAAATTCCACATATTGACTGCAATATTCATACAAAAATATAGTAAATACCGATTCTACCATCGAATTTGTAATTTTACCACACTTTGATGCAGCAAAAGTATAATAATTTTACAAACTTTTTTAACAGTGTAATCAATGTTCGGTATATTTACGCGGGTCAAACTTCGTAAATCTACGAAGGCAAGGATTGAAGTCCGCGACTCCAACGTCATAAGGATCTTCTGATTACAAGGATCTTATCTTGCGAGGATCAACCGTCACATATATCGCACAGAAAAACCTAAACGTGAATAACCTTTAAGAAGTCGTCTTTTACACTTTCTGAAGCGTATTTCACGCTTACAGTTGAACTATAAATGACGCTCAAAATTACCGTAAATTACAGCTGCGTAAACGTAATTTACGATTCTGTATTCGTAAATTAAAATGATGTTTTCCTCACTTTATGTTTACCCATTCATAATTTACAACGAATTAAAAAAATGCATAATAACATGATTTCTAGAATAAAAAACTATTTTTTTCATGGTAAATTACGTATAAGTAAATTATATAATAGTCACGATTCCTTAAGCGTAAAATACAATTAGTGAAACAGAAGAAACACTTTCTTTGGACGTAATCTACGGAAGTTTTGAGCGTCATTTACAAATACGAAATCGTAAATTACTCTCACGTAACCATAATTCACGGTATTTTTGAGTGTAATTTACGAATGCAAAATCGTGAATTACGTTCAGCAAAACGCAATTCATGTTTAGATGTGTCTGTGTGATAGATCATAATTATTGAGTGTCGAGCGTCTTAGGAATTATGACTCGTAAGGGTCAAACGATTACAAGCGTCAACCAGGCAGTCAGGAAAATTTCAAGGATTAAACGAATACAAGGGTCAAGCGTCCGAGACAACCAGGATAATCACCAAGTCCAAATGGAAGAGGTGAGCACGCAGGATGATCACAAAGGTCTAGCGGAAGAGAATTCTGATTACTTCGCTCGATTTGTGACCGTCTACCCTTCGGAATTGGCCTATCTGCATTTTTAGGTTGACCCTTGCGGTCAATGGAGCGTTTAGATTATCCTACCAACTCTGCTTTTTTTACCCTTGTGATCGTTTTACCATTGTTACACTGTTAGAAAAAAAAACAAATTTTATAGACAGTTGATCGCAAATGTTCAGAACAGTAATGCTGAATGTGATTTGGCGGAAATAAATCTTGAAATTTCAAATTTCACTGAAAATTCAGTGAAATTTCAGAATTTTAGGCAGCATAAAGAGCATTCCTCAATGTATTGGGATCTCCAATGAAATCTGAATATTTAGTGCCGAATTGCACTGAATTTTCAGTGAAAACTGACATTTCATGATTTTCTTTCCCCTTGAATCGCATTCCTTGTGACTGTCTTGAAAAGTCAAGAATATATTCACCGAAATTTTCTAAGTTTCTATGAATTTTCAAGGGAATAAGGCTGCAATTTCTGGTTGTCATTAATTTTTACACAAAATTTCGAATTTCCAAGGACGAAATTTCTTGGAATTTCAATCAAATTTAAATGCGATAAAAATTTTCGAACATTGTACTGGAAATTTCAGACAAAAATTGTTAACATTCTATGATCCTCGCGACGTTTGACTCACAAAGTTTGGCACTGGCGACATTTGACCCTCGCGATGCATAATTCTTAGCAAGTATGATGCTTACGTCTTTTGACCCTCAAAAAGTATGACCATGGAGAAATTTGACCTTTGTGAGATAAAACGGGAGACTCTTAATTGTTTCATTCGATTTATAATCATTCGGCCCTCGTGATTGAAATTTCATGAACAGTCCAATAGTAATTTCCAGGAGAGTGGTATTGAATGCGATTCAGAGAGAAAACATATAATCAAATTTTAGATTTCACTGAAAATTCAAAATTTGCAAACAGCATTAAGACAAGAATTCCTCAATTTATTTGAATCTCTATGGAAAAATGAATGTTTAGGGTCAAATTACGAAAAATTCCCAATGAATTGATAATTCAAGCTTATATTAACTGATATTTTCCTGATTTATATTAAGTTGGAGGGAATAATTAATCTTATATTTGCAGTTCTTATTGATTTTCCGATGAGATTTTGTATTTTCAGTGACCAAATCCCTTGAAATTCTAATGAAAGTAAAATATGATGCAAATTCCTTGACACCATAACGCAAATTTTAGCCAAGAATTTTTAATTTTCAAATAAAAAAAAAATTATGATGACCTCTAAAAATTCATAGTTATAAGATGAAATATCTGCATGACGCAAAGAATTTTCCCCTTCCGTCAAAACTAGAATATTGCTCATAACGACAGTTAGCTTGCCTTGGATAAAAGTTCCTTTCTTCGTTTCGAAAGCTTATTTTTTTACTTATGTGATCTATTAAACGACGTTACAAGGAAAAAACACTGGACTCATTTGTCTCATTGAAACATAAAGCAAAACAGAGAGGTCCCATTTTGCCCGGCGTCTCATTTTGCCCCGCTGCCACTTGTGCCCCGGGGTTTCATTTTGCCCCGGCCTCACCTACTCTTTTATAACATTTTTTCCTAACTTCAACGGTTAACGAAATAATTTGATGCAAATTAGGAAAACCAGCCCCAGTTGCCATCCAACGTAATATGGAATCCAAGTTATCTTGGTCAATTTTTTAATTTGTCAAATTTTGAAGGAATGCATCTTCTAGACCGTTTTGTGATGAATATTTTTCATTATTAACGTTTTTCTCTTATCCGATTATTTACGACAATATTTGAACGAAAAGACGATGAGTACTGCCGACAACGTCACTAACAACATCACCCGCTGTCCGATATATACCACTTTTAGATACATTGAATTTAATCATTGACTTTATGTTTTTATGTCATTAGGTCCGATAAACCGCGATTCTAACCTCGCTTTGCTCGGTTAGATCGCGGTTTTCGGGCCCAACGACATAAAATACAATATGTCATACGGCGATGAAAGCATAATCTGGCGAATGTGGCGAATTTCCACATTCGCCAGATAATACTTTTATCGCCTGATGACATAATCTACTATTTTGGGTCCCTGAATACGAATTTGTTAACTGTTTTTGCGAGGTGTGGTCAGTTTTGTTTATTTATAATAGTGTAATTGTTTATAACGAGATTTCGCGGGGGCCGTCGAGTTAGCCAAAAAAGTTTTAAACAAAGAATGGTCAAAAATACATGTATTTTGTCTTATTATTTTCATTCCTATCTTTTATAGTCTATAAGAGTATAGGATATAAAAGATAGGAATAAAAATAATAAGTCAAAATACATGTATTTTCAGACGAGGAACATTTTTTGATTAAATTTTTTTTGTCTAAATAGGACGGCCTCCGCGAAGTCGCGTTATAAACAATTGAATTATTATAATTATTATAATTAAATCATTATTATACATGAACAATACTAACTACGCCTCGCACAACTAGTTTACATATTCGTTTTCAGGGACCCAAAAAGCATGAAGTCCAACGATCAAATTCAATGGAC